CCCCAAAACCCCAAAACCCCAAAACCCCAAAACCCCAAATAACCTTATCAGCCTGAACCTATATACTTATAATAATTAAAAATGGAAACTCTAGCTGTAGAGGATAGATCCAGATATGTCAAGTAATGCTACTCTTGGGCTTAGACGTCTGTGTAGACATGCTTCATCTGTGGATTTTACCTTTTAAGAGAATGCTAATGGCTTAAACAACTGGACTTATTTCTAAATGTTGTATGAGTTAGATACTTGGATTTTTATCTTTTAAAAACTAAGTTTTAAGAGATGGGTTTCAAATGAAGCATTATTGTCAATTTTTTTACTTTAGTGATGTTTGTAATAAACTTGGAGATTTCTTGTCAAGTATATAGCTTCCGGTGCTTTACTGGTTTTTGGTCGTTCAAATTTATGCTTTCATATAGGTTTGAAAAGTCTGTAAGACAAGAATTAAATTCAATGAATGATGAAATATGGAGGAATCTATACTATCATACACATTCCCAAGAACTGAATAAACCTAGCACTAATTGTGTTGGCGATACAGAGATTTCAGCATCTTCACAAACTATTGGATTCTTCTTGGAAAACGAGCAAGACGTTAACCTTGTGAAGATATATAAGCCGCAGATCTTGCTAGATGTGGATACTCTAAACTTGTTTGATATCACAAAGTCTGATAGAAAAATATCTGAGTTCCTCTCTCAGCTCTCACAACTGAACCGAGGAGGAGTCTTCTTAGCTTCTTCACTTGGACTATCAGGAACATTTTCCTATTATTTTAGCAAAATAATAAGGATAGGCTCTAGAGTGCAAAGGTGTGCAGGATTTTATGAATTTTACATCACCTCAAGACAATTTAAAAGGTTGATGAGTGCCTATAAGCATCTCTGATACTTGTCCTTCGATAGGTGCAAGCTAGAAATTCCCAAAATTCCTGATTTCTCGAAGTCTATGATGAATGCTAAACTTCAAAATCTACTTGTGTTTGGATGTGGAGAATCTGAAGCGAGCGGATGGGAGAATGATCCCAGTGAGTTTGATAATCTGATTGAAGGATTAGCAACTTCACCTGATTTGAGACTTTGCTTAGTGGAAATATTTGTAGAGGACACCATCAAGGATAAAAGTAATGTTGAAGAAATTATTCAAAGGAGCAAATTTGCTAAACTTAATATCTAAAGAGATTTCCTAATGCTTTTAAAATTGCAACAACTTTAACTGAATTAATCAATCACAAAATCATTTATCTTGCCAAGAGAGGGTTAGCAAAGCCTCTAATAGATCTATTTGTCTTCTCAGCTTGACCTTCTACTTTAGATATTTCATCTATATGAGGTTTGATTTATTATGGAGCATGAAGATAGATTTTAAATCAATCAATCTAATAAGTTTTAATAGGGGTTTTGGGGTTTTGGGGTTTTGGGG